TTCCCCATCCAAACAGGACCCGTCGCTAATCCACGCCCCCTTGACCCATGTTTGCGATCGCCTGAAACTGCTGGGGCTCGAAGCAAGTCTGGCATCTTGTGGGTGATCGCCAGCGGACATGGTGGCCCGAGCGTGAGCATGTCACTGCACTCCTGGATCGGGAGTAAGTTCGAGCCATTCTGAGAAGTGTTCTGTCGAGATGGGCCTGGCCATGACTCTACAGAGTCTCGGGGGACTGGTTGACCAGCCATCGGATCCTTGCTGTGCGTGGGAGAGTAGGCCACGTCTCTTGATGCAATGGGGAACCCGACCGCTAAATGCACTATGCCTCCTGCCTCCGCCTGGCTTCGTCCATTTCCCTCCACCGTTGACACTTTATGTTGCACAACGTGCATGCCACTCGCTTCGCCTGCTCCTCAAGGAAGCGCCACTCGGGCACCAGACTAGTGAGATGGCCGCCCGAGCTGCTCTCCACGACCTCAGGCCGACAAGGCTCGTAGGCGGGGTCGAGGGTTAGGCAACGTCGTCGTCGTCGTTGCACGCCTGCCTCATCCTCTTCATCCTCCCTCCCTCCTCCCGTACAGTTTGGGCCTTCTGGCCAGGACCCCAGGTGAGGGGGCCCGGTCAGTGGTCGGGCCCCGGAGCCCCTTTAGTTTGCCACACTCACTGAACCAGGTCTGCCGTAGCTGGTGTTTTTTTTCGGGTGGCGGCAGTTCCGGTTAGTGGAATGGGGCGGGGGAGGTGTCTTGGTAGTCCCCAAACATGGTGGTGACAACACCTGGCGGTGAGTCTCGGGCGATTTGGTGTCACCACCCGGTTTGGGGACTCGTGCGGTTTTCCGAGGATGTCCCGGACAGTGGTGGGTCCAGGAGTCACGAAACCCGGTGGTGACCCCGCGTCCCCAAACCCAGCGGTGACCTTTTTGGGGATTCCAGGTCGCCACCCAGTATCTCACCACCCGGTTTGGGGGTTCCCAGGTGTCCTCCAGCACACATCACCAAACCAGGCCCCATGAAATCCAGTTCTTGCAACGCCCGCTTCAAGTATCTGCCATGATTCTTGGTCGCTCGACGGCTCGCTCACGAAAATTCACGCGTGGGCTCGAGGGCTCAGCTGCTCGGCGGGGCATCACGCTATCCTTCGTCTCGCGCTATGGCGCAACTCCGGCGTGGGAATCTACAGCGCTTGACGACGAGGCCGTCAGCTGCTTTGCGTGGGCAGTTCCATCCCTCCCTCCTCGTTCTCTTCCTCCTCGTCCTCATCGTCCTCCTCCTTTTTCTCCTCCCTCTCCTCCTCCTCCTCCTCCTCCTCCTCCTCCTCCTCCTCCTCCTCCGCCTCCTCCTCCTCCTCCTCCTCCTCCTCCTCCTCCTCTCTCCTCTCTCCTCTCTCCTCTCTCCTCTCTCTCCTCTCTCTCCTCCTCCTCCTCCTCCTCCTCCTCCTCCTCCTCCTCATCGTCATCATCATCATCATCATCATCATCATCATCATCATCATCATCATCATCCTTCTCATCATCATCATCATCATCATCATCATCATCATCATCATCATCATCATCATCATCATCATCATCATCATCATCTCATCCTCATCCTCATCCTCATCCTCATCCCATCCTCATCCTCTTATTTCTCCTCTTTCTCCTCCTCCTCCTCCTCCTCCTCCTCCTCCTCCTCCTCCCTTTCCCTTACCTCCTTGCCGCGCCCTGCGGCTGCCCCCTGATAGCCCCTGGGCGGCGCGGGCGCTCGCTCCTCCGCCCCGCCCTCCGGCATGGCTCGGCAGGCGCGCGCGCCGCCCCCATCCGCGGCTTCCGCCACGGCGGCCCGCTTAGCTTGTGGACGACGATCCATGGAGAGGAAGCGGAGCGCGCCAGGGGCTAGGGGGCCACATGCGAACCCTACCCCTACCCCCTCAGAAATCGTGGGGGGTGGGGGTAGGGTTCGCATGTGGCCCCCTAAGGGGCGGCGCCGTCGGCGCCGCCGGGGGGCCCCAGCGCGGATCCGAGAAATCCGCGCGGGCCTCCGAGTTTTTGTGTTTATGTCACTTGTTGTTCCCCTACTGGCGTCGCGGCGGGCTCGGCCCTCCGCCCTCCGGTGCCCTGGGGCACGCCACCGCGGCGAGGCCCCCGCCGACGCTGCCAAAGAATTTCCAGATGTCCAAACATGTGTGTTCAGCATGTCGTAGGCATGTCACACACAAGTCCTTAACATCTTCAGGACGTGCTTCCGACATGCTACTCGCACCCTTAACTCAATGATGGGACTGTTGGGGTGTCCATTCTCATGGCGTCCACAACGCTCAGCGTGAGGAGCCACCTCACCTATGCGGCAGGACAGGACCGTGATCTCCGCGGCGACGTTCGCTCCCCGCCCCTCCTTCCATCGTGCCCCCCTCCCTCCCTCCCTCCCCCCAGCCGCCGGTCCGGCTCGAGACTTCCGGGGCGCCGCGGACGGGCAGCTGCGAAGCTCCGCCCCTGGACGGCTGCCCCTGGCGCGCGCCGGCCACGCGCCCGTGGCGGCGACCGGGCTCGGCCGTGCGGGCGTGCCGCCTGGTCGCGGCGGCGGCGGGAGCTCCCCACGCGTCGGGAGGCGGAGGCAGCCTGGCGTCGGCGGGCCAGGGCCCAGCGAGCAGCCGCGAGAGGGTCCTCGTCCGCGTCGCAGCATCTCCTCCCCCTCCTCCTCCTCCTCCTCCTCCTCCTCCTCCTCCTCCTCCTCCTCCTCCTGCGGCTTGCTGCAGGCGCCCCCTCAGCAGCACGTCGTGGCGACGGGAGGCGTGGCCCGGAGCAGGGAAGAGGGCGCGGCCGGTGGCGGCGAGGGCCGGCGTGGCAAGAGGGAGGCGTTCCCCTTGCAGCAGGCCTGGTGGTGCCCGCAGTGTGTTCAGCCGGCTGCCATGCCAGACAAGATGTGTGCAGGACATCGAGAAGGAGGAGGAGGAGGAGAAGGAGGAGGAGGCGGAGGAGGAGGCGGAGGAGGAGGAGGAGGAGGAGGAGGAGGTGGAGGAGAAGGAGGAGAGGAGGAGGAGGAAGAGGAGGACGAGGAGGAGGGAGGAGGAGGAGGAGGAGGAGGAGGAGGAGGAGGAGGATCCGCCAGCAGACGACCGAGAAGACCAGATCGGCCAGAAGATCGAGTCCGGGAGCCGATCGCGGCAGCTCGCAGCGCCATGCCGGGGAGCCAGTGCCAGAGCCAGGCACGCGGCCTCCAGGAGCCGCCTGGGAGGTCATCCCGCACGTGCTCGTCGCAGGTCATCGTCCAGGTGAGGGCGAGAGATGAGGACAGCACAACCCACCCCCACCCCCACCCAGGGCACCCACCTCCGACCTGGTGGTCCAGGGTGCCCTGGGTGGGGGTGGGGGTGGGTTGTAAGAGCCGCGGGGCCCGAAACACACACCCCCACCCCCACCCAGGGCACCCTGGATCACCAGGTCGGAGGTGGGTGCCCTGGGTGGGGGTTGGGGTGGGTTGTGCTGTCCTCAAGAGATACCGTTGATCCGAGGCGAGAACTGATCCATAACCACCGCCTGGGGGGTCGATCTTCGCGGACCTCCACAGGCGATGGATACGGGTATATTCGGGCCCCCCGGGGCCAAAATACATATCCACATCCACCGCCCGCTGGGGCACCAGCACGTCGGTTCCCAGGCGATGGATATGGATAAATCCCGCCTCGTAGTTGAATGATATTGAATGGTCGGCATATGAGGGTGCGCGCAGTGATTGAGCATATACTGTCACACTGGAGGCGTTTGTCATCGCTGCCCGCGATGCTCGACGCTGCCAAGTCACTCTCTGCATCGACTGACCCGCCTGAGGGGGAGACGGCACTCGCGGCTCACAGGAAGCGCTTGAGGAGGACAGCCACTGCAGCGCCAAGAAGCTCAGAGCATCGAGAGTTTTGGGGCATGGTGCGCCAATTCAGAGGGATCTAGAGGGTGAGTCCGCAGTGCTGATGCCGATGACCATAGATGCACACGCGTCCGAGACCAGAGTGGAGAGGCCGAAGGCAGATGTCAAGCGCGCAGAGAAGAGTGCCGAGCAGGCTGGACGTGACGTCGGAGCTGTCCGGGCCTGCCTGACCGTTCAGAGAACCGCAACGCAGACGCGTGGTGGTACCTCTGTTCGTGCCCTGCTGCTGTTGGTGTTGTTGAGGGCAGCTGGAGAGCATGTACCCCGTCCCGCAGCAGGAGCACGCGCCGATGGAGGCCGAGGGCACTGCGACGCCACGTGGCCGCCGGCCTGCAGCGCAGGTGCCGTCCAGCGCGGTCTCGCGGAGATCGCCGCCCGCGCCAGGCGGCGCCTGCGCTGCAGGCTGGCACGTTGGCCTCGTGGCCGGTGCGGCCGCCACGTTGGCCTCCGGCCCTGCCCCGCCCAGCCCAGCAGCAGGCGTTCGCCGCCGTCTCTGTAGTCCAACGGTGTTGGCGACCAAAACCGCTCGTCGTGCGAGGTAATTAATGCTTGCCTGCCGCCTCGGTCAGCGTAGAGATAGCCGCCGTTTCTCCGCCGCCGTCTCGTCTCGTGCCTCCGCAAGGGTGAAGGCAGCTTGCCCGCTCTCGGGTACCCCACGAGCGACCGCGGAAGGTTGTCTGTCTACACGCAGTGTGGCGTGCCAGCTTGTGCTGCCACAGCCTGATGCTGCTTGCCCCTCTGGACTGGCACCCGGCAGCCGCGGTGGTATGCTCTTGCCCTCACCCCATGCGCAGCGGCATCCGCGTTGTTCCCGCCGTCGTCTCGTTCGTGCCGCGCTGGTACAGAGAGCGACCGCAGGAGGCCGTCTGCTCCACGAGGCAATTCGCTCGACTGCCTGACCTGTACGGTGCCTTCCAGATGCTGCTGTACTGTAACGCTGCGAACCTTGGTGCCCTGGCAGCTCTGGTTAGCTCATGGATAGTCTGCGAAATGCGTGCCCGCCTCTGGCGACAGGCTCCCAGCTTCATCGCGCCGAAATCCCGAATCCCTTCCCCCTTGTCCCCTCGTTTCCCCCCCCCCCCCGCCTGGTCTCTGCAG